AATTTGTTGAATTCTGTTAAAAAAGCTTACTGGGATTTTAATTGGGGATTCTTTGATTCTATATGTTTGGAGAAAATTGACATTTTAACCGTATTGAATGTTCTGATGCCTGACTATTATATATCTACTTACTTACTTAGGTCTTCTATCCTGCAAGTTTGGTAAATTAACTTATTAGTTTTAGAAGTCTTGTGGCAGATTTCTTAGGATTTTTAACTACATGATCATGTAATCTTGAATTAAGACATTTTTACTTCTTTCTTCCCAATCTGTATGCTTTTTATTTCTTTTTCTTGCTTTGATGCACTGACTGGGTCGTCCAGTACAATGCTAAAGAGAAGTTTTGAAAAGAGATGTTCATTTATTTTTCCTGTTTTTAGGTAGAAATCATTTAGCATTTCACAATTAAATATGTTAACTGCAGATTTTCTGTAGATGACCTTTATCAGTTTGCAGATGTTTCCTTTTATTCTTAGTTGGTTAGGAATTTTCATCAGTGGTGTTGAATTTTATCAAGTGTTTTTTTCCATTAGCTATTGGGACCATCGTATATTTCTCTTTTATTTATTTTATTAACATTATATATTGTGTTTTTTGATTTTTGGATGTTTAACCAACCTTGCATTCTGGGGATAAACCTTTGTTATTGGCCTATTAAATCTTTTTTATATATTGCTGGATTTAATTTGCCGAAATTTTGCAAAGAATTTTTTTAATGAGAAGGCTGGTCTGTAGTTTACTTGGAATGCTTTTGTCTGTATTCAGGATCAGGTTATACTGGCCTCATTAATTAATTGGAATGTGTTCCTTTCTTCTTTTTTCTGAAAGAGTTTATGTAGGATTGGATGCCGATACAAACTCTTTCAGAATCCATTTGTCAATTTATTGCCTCTATATATCAGTATCAGTATCAGTTTATTGCCTCTTTGCTCCAAACTCATCCTTTTTGCCTGCTCTGTGAAAATGGACCTAAGCCCTTTAGATATTTTTCTTTGCCAGCTGTCACAGATTTTTTTTTAATTTATTGAAGTATAGTCAGTTTACAATATTGTGTCAATTTCTGGTGTACAGCATAACAGTTCAGTAATACCTATACATATATATTTATTTTCATATTGTTTTTCATTATAGGTTACTATAAAGTATTGAATATAGTACCCTGTGCTATACAGTATAAACTTGTTGTTTATTTGTTTTCTTTATAGTAGTTAGTATCTGCAAATCTCAAACTGTCAATTTATCCCTTCCCACCTTCCCACCCCTTTCCCGCCAGTAACCATAAGTTTGTTTTCTATATTCTGAGTCTGTTTCTGTTTTGTAAATATGTTCATTTGTCTTTTTTTTAAGATTCCACATGCAAGTGATATCATATGGTATTTTTCTTTCTTTTTCTGGCTTATTTCAATTAGAATGACAATCTCCAGGTCCATCTGTGTTGCTGCAAATATTCTTTTTTATGGCTGAGTAGTATTCCACTGTATGAATTTACCTCAACTTCTTGATCTAGTCATCTGTCGATGGACATTTAGGTTTCTTCCATGTCTTGGCTGCTATGAACATTGGGGTGCATGTAGGTTAATAATTCTTTATATCAAACTTTTCCTGTTCAAATTACTATGTGGTTTCTCTCTTTTGATTGGATCAACACTTTTATGAAATTGATATCAACAGTAGCCCAGAAGATATATTTATAAAGAATAGAATTTTAGGATTGGTTTTATTATGCCTTTAATTTCAGCTCTTTGATCAGATCGGTAGTAGTTCTTGGCATGTAGTGGCATCATAATTAATCAAGCTACCACCTGTGCTTGGTTGGGATGACCTTTCAAATGAAGCACATACCTTGAAAGCCACGTGGATGCTGTACTTTATGTTATGGTGGTAATGATGTCCG